ACGAACTGGACGCTCGATTGGCAAGAGCCATATTCGTCCTGTGCAGCTGAACTGAACTGAACTAAACTTCTTGTTCTTCGGAACCAATAAAAGTACATTGTTTAGCCCCGCGAAGAATGAATAATCAGGCTTCCTTTTGGTGGTGTATTTCGCGCCCAAGAATGTGAACGACTGGAAGACCCAGTGGAAATAAAATAGTGAAATGCCATTATCAGGGTCTCAAGAGTTTTGTGACGACCTTCTGAGTCGTCATTTCCCTTGGTGAGATGCTGTCTTTACATTTCATTCCGTATTCAGTGCTGCCACTGAAGTCCATGAAGTTTCTGGGTATGATATAAATGGGCATGCCTTATGTACACACGGCTTTGAAAAACCTTTATTAGTCGGTAACAGAGAAGGTCTGAGGATAAAAGTTCCACCATGCTCATTTGCTCCGGTGGACCTTCTATCGTATATAGGTAGTTTGCACATTTAACGCAAACCTTCATACACATAAATGAAGATCCAAGTCGTATGGTAGATGTCATCGATGTTAGAGAACAAAATGAAATACAGTTGACTTTGAAAGAACTGGTAGATCACTTTAATGCAAGACCGCGGAGCCGTCTTTTGAATATGTTGAGTCTCGAGTTTTCCCAGACAAGGTAATTATTTTCCGTATCTTCTCTATCTTCATAGACTCTCTGAATTGGTACAGCCTCCACATGTGGTTTCAGAACTCAGTTTGATAACTAATTGCTGGGTCCCTGATGGCTTTGACGAAGAATCTGATGATCCCTCCGATGCGTCCAGTTCTATTCCGTCGGTTCAGAAGTACTGTCTGTTAAGTATGCGTGGTAGTTACACCGATTTTCATGTTGACTTTGGTGGATCTTCTGTTTGGTATCATGTCCTTTGGGTGAGTTGAATTTTCGTTTGGTATGTAAATGTTTAGGGCGAAAAAATATTTTACCTTCTCCCACCAACTCCGGAGAATTGCACAGCCTACTGGAACTGGTCTTTAAATGCCAACCATCGAAGTATTTTCTTTCCAGATATGCTGGAAGAAGCCTGGAAGTCTGGTATGTTGTGTGGTTAATGACGTTCTTGTGTTACCCCTTTCCGGAGATATGCTTTTTAACTCTGTTTTCCTGTTACAGACCATAACCGCTCGGCTGATCGCCCTCAGGTTTTCCAGCTTCGGGTTCTACCGGGTCAGACGATACTTTTACCATCCGGATGGATTCATGGATTCAAGAGAATCTAGAGAAGCTTAATTTGATGGTTTCGCAGGCTGACTGCAGTGTGTTTGACAACCCTAATCCTTCCATCTCTTGTGAACACCTCACACAGTATCTAAACTTCTGTTACGATATATGCTGCCCCTGGGAGACGCTCTACCTTCAGTGTGACCGTATTTCGTCTCCACATCTGAGGAAGTTACGTTTAAGCAAGGAAGGGGCATACAAAAACAAAGATCTTCAAAGAGTGAAACCCTTTTTCTTGCTATCAAAGGTGAGCTACAACGACTAAACGGCATCGACACCCGTACTCTCCTGCACAACAAAATCTAACGGGAAACCTGGGACACCATCAAACAACTGAGTGGTCAAGCCTCAGTTGTGTCTCGAAAAGCAATAAACGTTGAGGTACTAAACAGAACATTCCCCAAAAGTACCTAGAATACGGGGCCGGGGTCGACCATCGCCAGCACAAACATTGACCCCAGCAATCAAGAACCCTTCACATTCGACATCAGGATGTTCTGAAAGAGTTGCTGACACTCAAACCCAATAAATCACATGGTCCTGATAGATTGGAGGCTGCAATCCTTAAGGAGTGCGCACATACACTTTCGCCAGTATTTACAGCTCTGTTCAACCAGTGCTTGGAAAACGGAATTATACCGGATTGTTGGAAAGCTGCCTCCATCAATCCAGTGCCTAAAAGAGGCACCTCAAAATTCCGTGCCATTGCATGTACGTCTGTTGTGTTGAAGCTTTTCGAGAAGTTACTCCTCCAAGTAATGTCATCTCAGCTGAATGTGTAGGATCAAAACCAATTTGCGTACTGTCGCTCTCGCTCTACCCTAGATGCCCTAGCTTCTCTGGTTCACTACATTCTGTCAGCACTTGATGGAAACAAGAAGGCTGTCAGAATTTGTTTCTTGGATTACAGTGACGCCTTCAATTGTGTTGATAGGTCTTTGCTGTTAAATATTTTGTCTTCCCACGAAATATCGCAAACTATTACTGCAGTACTCACCAACTACTTCATAAATCGATCACAGTTCACACGTTACCCTAGTCGATCCTCCTCTTCCTTAATTTCTACACAGGGCGTATTACAGGGTGCCATTCTATCCTCGTTCTTCTTTTCCACTTACATTTCATTCATGCCTACTTTCCAAAACGCCCTGCTTATTAAATATGCTGACGATGTTGTGGTCAGAAATACCCACCCCGTTGCATCTGTCACCCCCACCCTCCAACTTGGCTTTACTAACCTTGCTCAGTGGTCTACTGAGCATTACTTAACTGTCAATCCCTCTAAATGTGTAGACATCTTGTTCTCACTTC